TGGCGGCGTCCGACGAGTCAAGCGTGTTGCGCAGTTACAAAGTGTTTGCCTTCGGCACGAGACATAAATCATTATAGATATTATTATTATTATTATTAGGAATCGCCTAAGAAACCGTGTACGCGTAATGTATCACGGTTGCGAGAACGGATAATATACATCGTTTGCCGTGCACTCGTGACGGGTAACTATTTATGGATGTTATTAGCGCGCCATCGTAGAGCGTCGATAAATTGTTTTTTCAAAATTAACCGCGTCCGTCCGTCCGCGTGTTGCGCGGCGATGACAACGCGAAAATAACGCGCGTCGTTGCGCATAATACACCCGTTCGTAGACGCAAAGGTGATAACGAGTGATGCGCGTACGTAACGCGCGTCCGCTGACGGTTCGCGTAGGGTTATAAAAAAATCGAGTAGAACTCAACGTTTTTTATATGAACACCGAGTTCACTATCGCTATCGACCGTTTAAGGATCGTCTTGCGAAACAATTGCCAGTTAGCTCGTGCATTACGTTCGCTGTTCGCGAGCAACCTGAATAGAATAATTAAGCACAACCTAGTTTTAGATCAACTAATGGTGTGTATTCATTACAACCAGGGTGTTCGCAAGTTCATACCCTAAAAAATGCCTAAATAATCATGCATTTATGCGCTTAAAATTGAAATGCCTTTTTATGCCTTAAAAAAGTTCAAAAATATTCATTTATTTGCACTAAACGTATAAAATTATGCACTTAAAAAAATCATAAATCATTTTTGAAATAACATTTGAATTATTCATTCGCTTTTTTTATAGCTATATTTTATTTTTTTATGTCACAATTAAAAAAAAAATAGACTTTAAATACTATTTAATGTTATTCCTGAGCTTTCATGAACTGCGTACCCGTGTACGTCTTTGTCAACAATTCATTTTAAATCTGAAACATTTGTAACAAATGTATTCGTTAAATGTACGAGTATTAAGATGATAAGAAAAGAAAAATAATAAAATTTCTATTTTTAATTTTATATATATTTTCCATTTAGATTTTTGATAGATTCTAATAGAATGTTGTATAATATGTCCGATAAAATAGGTAAATATGCATAAATATGCCAAATATGCAAAAACATGCAAAATAAGATTTCATATATTTAACCTTGAAATGGATTTCTGTCATCTAGCATTAAATACAATTTTGTAAGATTGATATGCACATGCATGAACTTACGAGCCCAGATTATAATCTATCACAGTATGAAATGGTTATTGTTAGGGAAAAACAATTATTTATGGGTATCATATTTAAACATTTCAATTGTCATCGTTATCGATGAGGTACATTATTGGTACTTGGTAGTGTCGTGTGTTGAAATTATAACATTTAAACGATTAGGACGAAGAGTACAAGGCGATGGTAGAATGCAGGGGGGAACTAGGGGGTCCATCCAGGAGAGCAGCTGACCTACGGTTAATATGTTAATATCTGTTGACAAAAATAGCCTCTTGGAGACGTTTAACGAACAAAAAGAAAATGGCACGCAGTGTTCCTGAGCGGTCAACCGCACTAACTACGCCTAAAGTTCAGTGATCGGACGTGAACTGGTGTATTCTACGTGATATAGTTGTTGTCATTAAAATGGTAATTTCTAGTTCAATCTAAAGCTGCGTGTACACGAAATCGAAAGCTAGTTAAATGCATACACTTATTTTCGACTTACGTCGCAATAAGAATACCAATCGATTTTGCTTGGCTGTTATTAGTTGTTTTTTCAATAGCAATTGTGTTTACTAATCAACTTGATTTGGTAATGACATAAATAAACTGAAATAATGTAACAGAAACACATAAATTCTTGTTCAGCTCGCAGAACTAAATGATAGCTGGCAAAATATTATCTGTAGGATCAACAAATTTATGTTTGATACAATTGTTAAAGGAACAATATATAACCACGCGAGCAGCAAATTATTTTGTAATCATAACAAAATGGTTATGTTGGATGTACTTTATTCCTGGTTAAGAGAACAATTAATAATATGCAATATTCACCAAATTTAATTGTTTTTAAATAGTGCTGACTAACCTAAACTATCGAACTACCGAATATTTTATTCGCAATTAATGTACAAGGACTATAATGATCATCTTCAGTGTAATTACTAGTTCCGGATTCTGATAACTCGAGGAGGATACTTCTAATGTTGTCTTGAGGTTCAATATCAAGTGTGTATTATGCTAAAATTAAAATTAAATTCTTAAAAACTATGAATTACTAGAATTTTAAAACTTTAATTAATTTCAAACAATTATAATTGATGGTTGAAAAAAACATCCATACTGTTGTACTATTAAAAATTAACTTGATTCTATATGCTATCTAATACAACTTTAATAAACGTAGATGTTTGATAAGAAAATCTGTATTTTTTTTTCTAATCTATCTCCAATATTGATATTTACGAATTATAATGTTAATCATATTTTCAAAATAAATTAACAATTAACATAATTAAACTCAAAGAGAGTGGCTGGTGATCCTGATACGATTATTCGGAGTGTGCCAAGTGACATTTGTAGATGTTGTGGTCCCGAATAGTTCAACTATATTGCTACAGGCAACGACTGATTACCGATCAAAGAATGAAAATAAAAAACTTTCACTGGACACCAAGCCTTATTATTTTTGACTTTCATTCCTCTTGGAAGGACTCCGGCACTTTTTGTATCTATACTTTTACTAAACATATGTTTCATTCGTGTTAATAATTCTTTAAATGATCATTGAATGTTAATTACTTGAAACCAAATAAATACGTATTCAATCGAATTTAATTTACTTACAACTCTAAAAGGTTAAACATATATAAAAATTCATAGATAAAATTAAGTCAAATTAAAAATTTAAAAAGATTTGAGATTAATTTAAGTTTAATTTCTTAATTGGTTGACTTTTTTAATAGTTTGTTATTTATTTTAAAATTTTGATGAATGAAAAGGAAAAACTGGAACTATGTTTTTTTTTTCATAATGTTAGTGTTGTAATAAGGACAAATTTATAAAAGTAATATTAAACATAATTACATTATGAATATGCGCTTAATATTATTTATAATGTATTCGATTCGAGTAGACATAATAATTAACAATTTGTTTTGATCTTTCAATCGTATGCTTCAGAAAATATAAAACATATTTTTAAATCATAAATTGTTACTCAACACTTTACTACCAATATTTTAATTAGTTATATAACATACTATTTCTTTGAATTTATGTTTTAAAATCAATTTGTGTAATTGATTCATCAGTCATATTGAGTCTGTGATACACGTAATATACGCTTTACATATTTATCGTCGTTGTACTTTGATTTTTGTAATTTATTCCATTAAGGAAGACAAATTCAAAACTTAACCCATAACATAGTAAAAATACTTTAAAATAATTAAACCGTAATTTATAAAAAAAAATAAGCACTTATTATTTGCGATTTAGAAAAATTAATATATAATTAAATAATTTTTAGAATCTATTAAATTATAACATTATACTATACTGAAGGTATAATATTTGTAATATTTTGTTTTGGTATTTAGAAATTATATTTTTTTATAAAAGTAAATTAAAATAAATATAATATAGAATAATATAATAATAATATATTTTTTTATTTTTTTTTTTTAATTTTTTTTTATTATTATATTATTATAATATTATTATTATACAATTATTGTCATTGATAGTAAGTATCTAATTATGTATATTTTAATAATTATGCCCTCAATAACTTAAATTTGTCAGAATTTAAAATTTAAATAAAAGCAAAATTACTCATTAATTCTTTATGTAACAATACAAGTTATTATAATTAAAACAATAAGTTGATGTACAGTTATTTGATAAAATAGCAGAAAAAACAGTCAGTTTTTAAATAATAGTTAGGCAATTCCAATACATATTTTTTATTCAAATTATATGTATTGTAAACAGATATAATGATTTTGTGGTCTTGTACACCTAATCAATATTATTTAAATAAATGCTTAACAGGATTAATAGATAAGAAAATTGTTTGCCAATAGATTGTATTAGTATTTTGCAATAACCAATAAATGTTATTTGGACAGTAAATCAACGTTTGACAAAAGCTACCTTTTTACTTTATGGAATCCCAAGCACATATTCAAAAATAATCTTACTTGAGCATCTCCCAAAAAAAACTGTTTAACCAAAGTCCAATTCAAACAAAAATTCAATCTCATAATAAACCTCATTGCTTAAACTTCAGTGAGACCAATGGCATTGCAATGCATTTTAAATTATTGATAGCATTTCTAAAGAATACAGAGAAACTTCTATTCACTCTTCTCACTGAATTTATATTGAATCTTCTCTAAACTAAATAATTGTATTTCATTAGAAATCTATTAAATAGTCATTTAATCAATTAACACTGCTATAATTAATATAATTAAAAACTGTTATTGTAATTACTGAATGCACCGAGACTTGATATTAACTATTGTTATTTTTATTATAACTGTTATGATATAGAAAAATAATAATCCATTAAAGTGCAGTTAGGTGCAATAAAATTAAAGTAATTAAAAAACAGATAAATGATAAATACACAATAACATATTAGATAATACAAACTAATAAAAAAATATCTTAGTTTACACTATTTTTAAATGTTAAGTTTTTTAATATTTTTGTTTTTAATATTGATTTGAGAAATATAAATAAAAAATTAAATACTACTGAAACATAGAATATGTTGATACATGATACAATAATAGCCAAAATATAGAATCTTTTCTAGAATTATTATACAGTCTTATTAATATTTATAATAACAACAAAAAGTTTTAAAAAATAAAAACTAACTATATTTCAAAAATTGCAAAAGTGTAATTTGTATTATTGAAGTATTTTGAAATACAAATAATACAATTTTGAAAAAAAGGAAATTGTTGTTAATTCTACCTTATACAATAATGTTAAAATAAAACATAATATATAACTTATTTTATTTTAGTTAAATCATAATCCACATTTGAATTATTTATGGCTAGTACCGCTTTCAGTTATTTTAAGTGCATCTATTGCTTCTGCTGCTTGAAAGTAATCATCAGACTTAAAAATCACTGGAGGTTCATAAGCAGGTAATTGTTTTGTAGAAGAATGGTCTTCTTGTTTTTTCTAAACAATATAATCACACTTTTAATATTATAATAGCTAAATGGAGTTGCACATTATCAGAGGCATGCTAATGGCTAATACCAAATTAGGTTTTGTGGTACAAAAGTTCTGCAAGATGCTTGTGAACATTGAGAGTAATAATTATAATAAATTATAATCATGAACTCTCTTCATAAATTTGTTGGGGTTAAATTGGAGTTAGATACTTTGGGATTCCACAAAATACAAAATATTTCTTAAGGATTTTGTGGTCGTTAAAGTTTAGAAACCACTGTTTTAGAAAACATTATTTATAATATTTATATCTAGAATATAGATAAAAAACCAACTGTAGAAAAAGTTGTTACATAATGAATTTTCAATACTCAAGGTAACAAAAATAAAAATCGAAAGATGTAATTGGATTTAGTTTTGATTTTATATATATATATATCTTATGTTTACTCTAATGTTAATTTATTATTAATAATGTTTTTGTCGTGTATTTTTAATAAATTATAGACTATCAAGAAAGACATTTTCCAGGTTAAAAGAATCAAATTTTTACTTAAGAATTTAATGATAAAATTTTATCAAAATTGAATAGTAGGTTGAAATTACTTAATTGAACATTATTTTCTTTAATTAGGAACAAAAAATTAAGTAATTTAAGTTAAAGATAATTAAAATTGATATCCCTATGCACATGGTAATATATAAATAAATGTAAAATATTTACGAAAAATGGTTTTAATATTGAGTTCAGTGGACCGTCCTTGTTGATTGGCATGCAAGCCTCAGCTTCGGTTAGTTGTTGGTCAACTAAATCAACATCTTCAGCAACTTTATTGACAAGTTTTTCCAATTTGTTTACAGTCCCAGTGAGTTCATTAACCTTGGACTTCATTCCTTTAATTGTATCGTAATGCATCACAGTACTCTCAACGCGCAATGCTCGTACCTTAACGGAAAAAAAAAGCAAATAGCCGAAATACACGACGATTACCACCATGAACCAATCAGTAACAAAATCAATAACAGGGATATTGTTGACCTAACCGACCACATGACACGTACCATTTCCATGAACGTCTGAAATTCTTCCAACCTAGTCAGCATGTCTTCGACGACGTCTTTCAGCGCGCCCACCTGTCAACGAACGATGCGAGCATATTAATCATCGTCGAATCGAAAACGTGAAATAATAACGCTCCTTTACCTCGTTTTCGTTGTCAACCTTCAGGTACTCCGCGTAATCGATCGCCAACTCTTCCAACATCTTCTGGCCGGTCAGTTCCAGTCGGAATTCAACTCGGCTGGGCTTGCACGCAACAGCAACAACAACGGTATTGTTGTTGAATGTTGACGTTATAGAAATGTTCGTAAGTGGTCGGCGACCAGCCACCTGTCGTCAGTTTTCTTCGATTTGTTTTGTCAACACAACGCGAACAAAACGAGATAACGGTAACAGTGATAACAATTGATAAATATCGATGATAAGGGGAACATTTATCACGGACCAAGCTAATGATATTTGAAAACCATCCAAATTCAAAGGTCACTTGACTGTAAGAGAAGTCGAGAAATCGTGTGCCAACAACGTTGTAGGGAAAGTAAACAGGAGTCAAGTTCACTGAAATGCGTGTTTTTAGATTTTTTATTTTTTAGTACGGACTTTTCGACAACAATAAACCTATGTCATTTGAAGGTGAAAAATCAAGGGACTCCGAATATGCAATCAAAATCACTCCGAGTACTTATTTCTGCCCTCCAGAGTTGCAGCAGTTCGAGGTTAATATATTTAACTTTCTGGCTGCCTGCGTTTGATACAACTGAAACCCGTAATGGATCTTTGTCGTATTCATTTTTGATTCTTATGACATATGAAATGAAAAATGTCTTTTTTTAATTTTTTTTTTTTTTATTATTTATCAATCGCATTTATATATTTGTTAATCGCAATTTAGCAGTACACAATATTTAAAAAAATAAATTTATTTCTAATTGTATTTGAGTACACGTATGTAAAGACCGTCAACGCTGATCGAGACCAGTAAATTATTCGTAGTCTCGCGATTCGGATTGTTTGCCAACAACCAAAGCACGACGATAATAATGAGTTTATTAGTGATGAGCAAAGTTGATCTTGGTCTTGCTGCAAGTTATAATTTTACTTTGATTATAATAGTTTAATTTATGTTATCACAATAATTGTACAAACTTCAAATAACAATCGTCTTTAAAATGGCGTAATGTTTTTAAATTCTTCAGAAAGTAACTTCATTGACTATTAATTCCCGTTCGATATTTAACAACACGAGTATTCGCAGATGTTTACATTATCATGAGTTAAATAAGCTGCACATCGTAGACGACGGAATCAGATTTCTTTGATTTCGTTGCTGATCGAATTCCTTTGTAATATCCAATCGTTTTTGATCGTATTTATTTACCAGAGAACACGTATTGTCGTCTGATCCACGAAGATGACGTGTCGCGAAAGGCAACCCAATCCGTACAGGTCGCACGAAAACGTTTCCGTTGACTCTACTGCCCGACACGTGTGTTTCGTCACCGAGGATCCATATTCGTACGACTGCAAATGTTCGAGATTAAATCCGGCCGTACAACCAGTACCGTAGCCATGGTACAGTTGATCGCGATGCGTGAACTCGGGGCGATTAGGCGCACGGGCTTACCGGCGTACAGTTATTTTTCCGGTCGGATCCGTCACGTTTACCGTACTGTGTCACCGTAAACACGTTAAGGTTACAATTAAAATAATGACCTCGTCCGGTGCGTCTCAACGGGTCGTGACGATTGCGGAAAAATGCATAATGGCTTCGTCCGCGATGCAATAATAAATTGTATCTAGTTCTTCGCCGTGCCGCACTTTTGTCGCAGTCGTCGCGGGACGCCTACTATACGTCTTAAACCGTCGCACAGGTAGTCCCTACCGTCAACAAAGATAGATAAATAAATCAGTTGCAGGCGAAAACTGCTATGCTGTCCACGAAAACGACCGCGCTCATGATGCTCGCGATCGCCATCAACGTCTTTCGGGCGGCGACGGATGACGACGACGACCCATCGAAATGGACACGTCTGTGCACGTACACCAGCGAAGGCGGTTCGCGACACAACGTGTCCATGCCGTGCGGTGTTCAGGTGGAAAGCCAATCGGACGAGGCCGAGAGCAACGAAGGTCCGGTAAATTACGTTCGAATAGACGTGAAGAACGTCCGAGGAGGTGGTGCAACGCAGGACGACGGCGATGAAACGCAGGGCGATGGCGGCGAAACGCAGGACAATGGTGACGAAGGACTGGAAAGGACCGGGATTGTTGATCGCGGGACGAAAACCGAAAATTTGGTAGGACTTGAGCAAAACGAGGAGATCGTTGCAACCGGGAATCAGGACGAAGCGGTCAACGACTACAACGGCAAGCACGTGGAATACGATGTCACGGTGGAAGCGGATGACTATGACGGTGGTGAAGACGACGAACGACAAGAACAACTCGGATCCGTACCGGTAAAGTCGGTGGTGTTATCGTATCTGCAGGACGCCAAAAAACAACTGTACAACAAAATACGTAAGTATGCACGTTAGCGGTGCACACGAGTAGGAAGGCTAAGAGTACGCGAAAATAGAAACAACTATTGTCCTCATCTGGTCTGTGTTTAAAAGTAATACCGATTTTCCTTCAATGACTTTTGATTGTAGCAGAAAAATACCGTACTCCGTTCAACGAAATGGAATTTAAATCATTTAAATCTTGTAAAATTCAATACGTTTATCTCGTTCGTGTTTCAAGTAGTGCTGAGCATTCCATATCCGGATTACCGATCCGGATTGATCCGGATTGAAACAAATGTTACGATCCGTTTAATCCGGATTATGATATAAATCCGGTTTATTTCAAATTTACTGTATATAAATTATAAATAACATTAATAAATATAAACATTTGGTGAAAATTTCAAGTATTTAATCTTGTTATCTTCATGGGTTATTCTATTATCGCGTGTATTGTTATTGTTCAGAAGTGCTATAAATAAATATTGTGTTGCGTTCTACGGTGTTATCCGATATTAATTGTACTTTTATTAATATTTAATAACAGGCATGAGGGTAATTTTATTTATTTTCAGTACTCAATGTTCTGTAGTCTGTAGTTTGTTGTAGTCTATACTCTGTAGTCTGTACTCGATAGTCGATAGTTACTAGTTACTACTTACAAGTTACAGCTCAGTAATTTTGTTATTACGTTAGTACTTACTACTTAGTACGTATTGCGTATCAACTTATCGTATCGTAATTTGTATTGTATCATTTATATTTTGTTACTAAACTGTTGATAGTTTATCCTTTACCTATTAAAAATGTCTCAAATTTGGACAAGTTTTACCAAAGGTATTGTATATTATGTACTCATTAGCCTGAATTTCTACAGTTCTTTAAATATACTAAAATTTATGTAGAACCCGGGTGTGTTTGCTATTAGGCGTCTTATAACATTGAGTCGATTGTCAATAGATCTGAGATCGTAATTCGTATTTTTAGGTTGATAATAATGAAAAAATAGCTGATTATCTCAAAAATAATGAAGCCGGATTGGATCCGAAATCCGAATCAACGGATTGAATCCGTGAATCCGAATAAAACGGATTGATCCGAAATCCGGATTAAATAATTGTAATCCGTAATCCGGATTGGTCAAAATAATGCTCAGCACTAGTTTCAAGCCCAAAATGATATGTCGATCGACTTAAACTATAATTGATATTCGGATTAAACTTTTACTGAAACAACGTAAAATTCAATTTTTCCTTTTTATGATAGAGGTTTAATGTTGGATTCAAATTATGCTTAGTAGGTATTCAAGAAATGGTATTTAAATACTAGAAATTATCCGATTTTCAAATGTTAAGTAATAGAACTACTTTCAATTTTAACATAATATGATAATTAATTGTTTTAAGGTTTATTTTCAATAACATTAAAAACAACATTACTAGGGATAACAATTTATCGTAAACGGTTATACGTTATAGAGAATTGGCATTTCGACATGAACATTTAGAAATCATCCAAGTCCGTTTACTATATTATTCAAATGTAAAATTCTATGGCATTAAGTCACAACTGTCATGTGTGTGTTTTCCTGAGGTTCAAACTAATACAGCAAAGAAAACATTGCGACAACTTAGCCCGTATTTTCTTGGATAAAATACGACAAACATATTTTCTTGGTGGAATTTAAATGCATTCAACGCGTAACAACCGAAACGTTATTTTAGATTATCTGTTGAGTTTGCTGCAAAATGCGTTTCTCAAGGCAAGATTGGATAGTCGTCGAAGTTACCGGGACTTGATTGATCGACGGAATGCATTGAAGTCAGAGGGACGGCAAGCAAGGAGCAACAAACAGTTCCTGGCTAATTTTTTCCTCGATGTTGAAACCACCGTTCGAACGTTCAATGATGACCATGTCGTTCTTAATGTTCGGCGTGTTCGTCGTTCAAGTGGTACAGGTAAACCCAACTTATACTCAAATTAAACTGCCGCCACCGTAGCCCGGCTGGATTATTGTTCAGAACGGGTTTGCACAATAAAGCATTTTCAAACGTGATAATCAACGTGTCAAGAGTATCAAATGCGTTGAACGTTGTTCGATCGGGAAAATATCGTACAAAACGTATGAAAAAAAAGATAATATTTGAATTTTATTATGAAATTTCGATACTCAATTTTTTTATTATTTCGGATAAAATTAAATTTTTAACTTTGGAAATGGTACACATGGCACCCGTCGGATTTTTGTTAGGCATTATTAAAAATATAAAATAATATACATTCTCCAACTTTTACAACGATCTCTATTTCTTCAGAGACTCATGCAAACATTACAACAATCTAGTGATCTTTTGTCCATGGGAAATCCTGTACAAGGTAACCTGCCAACGGCATCGGCAAGCATATTCTGAAATAATTTGGTGAGTAAACATATGCTAAATAATTGAATTGCACATTTTTAACCATGATTCAATAAAATAAACTGCATTTGCTGTAATGCCTTTCTCTGTTGATACTATATTTTATTATTTTCTGATTACTATGTAGGTGTTGATGATTGTTCGCAAGCAAGATAAAAATACTTTAAAAATAATTATGATTCAATTCAATTTTAAAATTGTTTTATACAAAACCAAATGTAATACAACTAATGAAACGATATAATTTTATTACTTTTGAAACCATGTTAGTTATAACTTTAGAACAGAAATTCCAAATAAGTATTATTTTTTTTTCCTTGGTAAGTTATACAACAATACTTGTTTTGTTCTCTTTTAAAAATTATCCTCAATTTCACATGCAAGCGTTTATCTGAAATTTTAGGGAACTTTTGTTATATTTTTTCGACCCCTTTATTTACCGAAACTCACGCCAAAGT